CTCCCAGGAACTCGAAGAACCGTTCTGAACCCAGGAAACGTGTTGTTTGTTTGAATAGTGTGAATAAACTAAAAAAGCACGTTTGCGACATAATTATACGTCTACTTCCGTGAAACCGTCATCGCGCGATTCTTCCTAGACGAAAGTCAGTTTGTGTGGTAATTTAGAAATTAGCAAACAATGCGGAAAGCGATCGAATATTGATCCGCTTCTGACACTTGATTTTATTAACCTGAAACCAGTCTTGCGTATTTCCACTTATATTCAATACTAGATTATTTCCTCTTTTCATTATTTCTGGTTGCAGATTCCATACTTTGTTTCTTTTGGTAATTTGTTGGTAGTTTCTTTAGTAATAGATGATTATTTTTATGGTTTGTTTCTGGTCAGGGTAGATTTCTGGTCTTCACTGTTTTTAGTAGTAATAGATATTTATTTTTGGTTTTTATTGTTTTTGGTTGCAGTAGGTAATTATTTCCATTTTTCACTTTTTTCACTAGTAATACAAGACAATTTCCACTCCTCATTATTTTCAATAACAGTTATTATTAATAGTAGATACTTATTTTTAGTTTTCATTGTTTTTGGTTGCAGTAGATAATTATTACCACTTTTCAATTTTTTCAACTGGAGTATATAATTATTTCTATTCTTCATTTCATGCGGTGATAACAGAAAATTATTTTTACTCCTCATTATTTTCAATAATAGTAAATGACTTCCATGTCCATTCTTCATTTTTATCAGAAGTATTTAATGATTCTTTCCACTAGTAATACAAGATTATTTCTACCCTCCATTATCTTCAGCAGTAGTATTTAATTATTTCTACTCTTCCTTCTTTTAGTAATAAATTAAATAAAAAGTCCAAATAAAAAAAGTCGCAAGCATCAAACATACGAAAACATCCTCATTCCCTTCACAAAAATTCATCAATAACAACCAAATAATTTATCCCACACAAAAACTACATATACTAATTATCACAATTAGCATTAAATTTTACCACACTTTCCTCCATATTTTCTGAAAACGACTTTCACATAAACACCCTTATTTTAAACACGTAGCAGTATTTTCAAAACATGCCACTTATATCGTATTTTATTTTCATTCTTCACATATTATAATAATCTTATTTGCTAATTCTGTGGAGAATGTTGTTAATTTTATCATAACAATGTTTGACGTTCCTTCGATACTATAAAAAGAATATAATTCTGGTTCAGAGTACGAGAAGAGTGATTCATGAGTCGCCACGTTTAGACTCGTTCATTCTTTAGTTTAGGGAATTAAGTAAATATATCCTATATATGGAACAAAAATCCCGTAACAAGCTGGTCTACGTGCCGACGTTCACGTCTCCTTACTCTAGGAGGAGGTTCGAACCTTTTAGTCTCGTAACCTGTATACATTGGCGTAGTTTTAAGTTAGGGTTGCAACGGGACTCCCCTCTTAAAATCTGAAGACTTTCAGGACAGTTTAGAGTTATTTGAATTTAGCAATTTTTTAGTTATAAATTTTTGGAGCTCAAGACTCAGAAATATTAGAAATTAAAAATTCTTTCGGGATTTGGAACTCTGGAATCTTGTAAAATTTAGGGTTGTAGGATTTTGAATTTATAGAAATTTGATATTGTACAATTTTCAAACGTCACAATTTTCAGATTTTAAAATCTAGGAATTTTTAAATTTTTGAACTGAGAGTTGGAACTTTGGAAATTTGAAAAATTGATGTTTTAAAATTTTAAAACTACAAGTGTTCAATATTACAAAAATTTGTCGATTTAAAATTTAGAATATTAAAAGTTTGAAACTTTGCGACTTTAAGATCCTCATAATTTCCTCCCTTTAAAACTCCCAAATTATTTAATTTCTTATCGTTTTGAAACCTTAAAATTCTATGACTAAATCCTCAAAATTATTATAAATGTCAACTCTCTTCGACATCACCGCAATATTTCCGGACCCAGCCCCGAAAAAGTGACACAGTTACGCCAATGCGAATATCGGTATTGTTTTGCGTCAGATAACCGATTCAAATTTGGAAGAGTATCGTGTGCCCGCAAGAACTACTGAACATGACGTCAATTTTTCGGTTATCGCACTGTTATTGCAACTATTTTTAACCATTCAATTGACACTGTACCATACTTTCACGTGATTTTCACATTGCCCGAAGATGTTTCCCTTCTCCTTCATTTTTTTATTGCTGTTTTCTGTCTAACGTGCGTCATTGGTTTCGGACGATATTTTAATTGCAAAGGAATTTGCCTTCGCGTGTCACTGAGTACGAGGAATTAGATAACATAGTATCGTGGTGTTTTCAATTTTAGATGAATATACGGTCATGTTTTTGTAGGGTTCGAAGGAAAGATCTCCAGCGTTCCATGTGGCTGAGGCTGATGCAACCATTATGCCCTTTCATCAGATACATTTTACTAAGGATGTCAAATATTAACGATTCCAAGAAAGTAAAACTTCCTGTATAATTTTTCCTCAATAAAAGGAATGATGTGTTGTTGCATGTTAAACAGCAAATTTTAAGGTTTGACGTACACAATTACGTTGATATAAAGTTTTTATAGCTCCTGTTTCACTTGAATTGGTGAATCGAAAAACAGCTTAAAATTAACATTGGTAATTTTTGGAAAATTTTAGAATTTAAAAATGTGGATATCCGGTGAACTGATAATTTGTAAATCTGAAAACTTGAGTATTTAAATAGTTAAAACTTTGAGAACTTATAAAATCAGAAATTTCAAAATTCCTTAACACAGTTCTGAGCACAGTTGAAAACTTAAAAGGAGCTTGAAAATTGGTAGACTTATAAAGTTAACAATTTGTAAAAAATTCGACAACTGCAAACACTTAAAATTCTAAAAAATTGAACTTGCAAATTTATTATTAAAAAAATTTCTAATTTGAAGCATGTCCTACCCTTACGTCATGCACGTAACCCAATATATGTACCTCACCCTCCATTATATTTCTACATTAAAAGGGGTTCCCCAATTCCACCCTATCTACCGAATCTTAACGGTGTCAACCGAGTTTCACCCATCATGTTTCTAGTTCCCAAAACCGTGCAACGAATCGTAGAATTGTCGCACACCATCGACTTTCACCACGATAAAACGTTTTGCGTCAGCAAAGCGTCTCCCTGCGCTGTGGCACGAGGTCCGAGAACGTTAACTGAAGTTATCGTGGAGAAACCCGACAAGCGTTAACCCGAATAACAGATTAAACGCTGTACCGATTTGGCCAAAGAATATCGTCACGTGGATCGGATATCGTAAAACGATGAATACGTAACCTCGACGTTTCATAAAATGTTGTCCCTGTAGTATCATTGAAAGCGACGGAAATTTTGTGAGCATATCGCATAAATTAATTGTAGGATAATAGCGAGTTACGCACGTGCAATTATTATCGAAGAAAGACGCCGAAGAATTTCACAGTGAAATCTCGTAAATTTTTTGCTGTCTGATTTTAATAATAATGATCATATTCATGGAGGAACATATATTATGCGCTGATAAATGATTCATAAATCCTCCCGGCCGATCCTAGACCTTGAATGCACAGAAAAATGCATAGCGGAGATATTATACGACACCGAGCCGTTGTAAAATTCTGTTTCATATTTCTAGTTGTCGGATATTTTTAGCCGTGTATATTTGTCTAGCAATCGTAGTGAAACTAAGGAGTGGACTTAAAAAATAATTGGCGCAAGGAATCAAAGAATACAGAATGAATCGTTGTGGTAAAAACGGGAATAGAAAAAATTAATGTAACGCATACAAATAAGCACTTAGATATGTACCATGCTGGAGGAATTGAAATTTCTAATGTAATTCTATTTGAGCCGATATGGGTATACAAAAAAGATTTGCTCGACGATTACTATCTTCTGATTTATTTGCAACCTTCTTGCTAAAACAGTGATAAATAACAAAAAGTTTATCCTTCTTAAACGTATAATTTAGCAACCGAGATTTAATTTCTAACATCAAGCGAGCTTTTTTTAACTTAATGGAACGATTTCAGTGGCATGCAATTAGTTTATTTTGCATGAAGATATATAACCGAGAATCTGTACATCGTTTAACTCTATCCGCGTTTAAAGAAATATATCAATTTAGTAGTTTATTGCGATTCGTAACTTTTACGCGTGAAAGGGTTAATAAAATAAGAAAAGCGATACGAATGATCATTTCGGTGCAATCTAAATATGCGAAGATAACAGTATCAACATATGGAACTAATTTAAACCGCATTGACGTAAGTTTAATCATATCTACAATAATACTCGTGTGTTCGAGTAACGCTACGATTATGTATAAATAGGTACTACTTCAAAATATAGATAAATCCGATTTTTTATAATTTCGTACTACAATCTACAACGTATCTTTTGACAGTCCCAGTCAAAAGAAACTTCCTCCAAAAAAATTTGATAATTGCTACCTCGATATAGAAGGAAAAAGATCTTTTAATTTTTACAGAACGTTCGATCATTTTTTGCTATGACATATTAATGGCCCTGATTATACCTCTTGTCGCTAACGAACGTATTTACGAATGATTATAAACGAATCACATAACGATTCATTGCATTTCACTTGTTAGAGTACATTAACCTTTCGTTGTGTCTCTTTTTTAATTTCGAAAGGAACGATTTCAAATTATGAGAAATATTTTGTAAGAAATACATTTATATAAAGATACTACTGCAAATTTGCAACATTGTGTGAAATAAAAAATTGGAACAATAATTTTTTAAACTGCTAAATTTATAAGTTATAGATTTCAAAAATTTTTAAATTGTGAGAACTATCGAGTTAACCCTATTTCCCCTGCGTCGCCATTTTCCCAAGGGAATACGGTGCTCTCGAATGTGTATACATACGCATAGCTATGTGTGCCCGAACGGGAGTCGGACGTCGACATTTAATGGTGGGGAGACGCTAAGACGATAAAACTACATGTAACTCTCTCTGGCGCTCAGTATGCATTCAAACAGCAAGAGTGGACGATCTTCGCGCTCTTTTGTGTTCATAGTCGCGCGAAAGCGATACGATTTTTAATTCGTTATTAGTGCTTCGCCCCTGCCAATCAGAGTTCGCGTTTTAACTCCCTCAGTAGGGTAGTTGCGCGCGCATACCCCAAGAGATTTGCACACATCGATCACATTTAAAATCTGTCAAGTTTTCACTGCGAAATTAGTTCATTTTCTGAAGCTACAAATTGTTTAAAACTGTATCGTCTATCTAGTGCTTCGGTTGTTAACAAATAAGTACTGGATCAAAGTGACGAGAGAAAGGAAGGAAGGAAATTCGTAACGGAGCTAGCAGCTTCCCCTCGAAAGTACATACCACGTGAAGTAGCTTCGGTCTCAGTGTTGTGAAAGCAGCGTACTTGAAAGCGGCATCCGCAAACGTTTCAAGAATTTAGTACGAAAAAAAGGGGTAACGGTACGAGTTTTACTCGAATGAAAAGCATTCATTCAAGAGACCGTGGTCGAGTAACAGTCAAATGCCACGCCTAAGGTAGACGACGATGAACTCTGCGGGCGTTGATTGAGGTTAGTTTGCGTCTGAAACGATCGTCGCGATTTAAGTGCGTCCGTTCGTCGTGCGTTAGCGAGTGACAATTTTATTTGTATACGCTGTGCGTGCGTGTTCAGAAGGAGTGCCAGTTGTATATAGAAGAGAAGAATAATGTCGAGCAGTGTTTGCCACGCGCCTCTACCAGCACGGATGGAAGCATTCACCACGAGACTCTGTCTTCGTGCTGCTGACCAATATGAGCGGCTTCTGCAAGCTCACTTCAATAAGGTACGTGCGTCGATAACTATGTATGTACATTTTAATTCTATTGATTCATCGTGTTGTTAGCGTTGAACGCTCCTTGAATAGCTTAGGTCAGTAATCAAGGTGCGAGAAGCTTCGATGATGCGTAGCGTTAGGTTTCATAGTATCGAATGCACTTTGCTTCATGGTATGTTTCTTGGAACACCGAACATCGATTTGGGGAAAATGTAACACAACTACTGCACGTTGTTAGTGTATATTACACAGAAAAACACGTTATAAATTAAATGTTAGAAATTTGTACGGTGTTATGTACATTATAAGATTTCGTTGTTAAAATACGGCGTCGTATGTACGTTGTTTTACAAAGAGCAGAGTTACATTAAAAACAGTAATTGTACACGTGAGATAAACACATTTAAAGTAGGTTACAAGTGTTTGTAATATTATCATTACTAGTCGGGAACATTTTAATCCAGAAATATAGGAATTTCTGAATTAGTAAAATATTAGTACATTTGATGGCATAAGAATGTAGGGACATTGGCATATTTCGAACTAGAGACATTGGCGTAGTTGAATCTAAAACTTCTGTAATTTAGTATTTTTCTTCTGCAATATATGTAAATGCATTCGTATGTAGAACACGTGTGTTTCGAAAACGTAATTACACGTCTTTCTTTTAACGACATCATCATATCTTATTAGCATTACAGTACGATCTTTCGAACAAAAGTTATTGGTTTTATAACCTGCAATTAGTGACTGTTTATCTTTTACGATATGTAAATTGAAACCTAGTTCGTGGGAAATTATCTAAATAAATAGTGACATAACGGTGTTCATAAGTATGCTGTCGTTTCTGAAAATTTACGGTTTCGTGCAAATAAAAGTTTATTCGCATGCGTTTTCTGGGCACAGAGCGTTGACCCCCATTGCACGATGCGATTCGAACGAGTAATCATGAAAATCGTGCTCCTTGATAAAACATTGATCCGTATTCACATAGGGCGACCGTTAACGGTAACATCATCCTGTTTTCCACGTCGCCGTTACAGTTTTCTTCTATCGCCTGTGCAAATACAGTTCAGTCTGTTTCTTGTTCTTGAACATACAACACATACAGACTCCAGTCTCATTAAAATTCGTAATTCGTTTATCTCACTGGAGTTTCCAAACGCTTTTGTAATTTATCAAAGACGGTTCTAATTACTTTTGAGACGCGTGTTACTTAATGACTCAATTTCAGGTCTGTTCAAAGTGAGTCAATACCGCTATTGAAATTCGCAATACAATGAACCGCGTATTTGAATGTGCACGCACAAAGGATGACCGTGAAACAGTTTTATTCAGAAAAAACTATAGGCTATTATGAAACAATAATAGATTACAATTACGTAACCTATTGTGGTCAATTTCTATGTATTTCTCTTCGTTATTGAACTTTTAACAATGCATTGTCAGACCGATAATTGTTTCAATTTCTTTTCTATCGATTCTATTTGAAATATTAAATTTTTTTAATGATTCTCATAAAAAGCTCAGTTTAAGTTTTGTTACAGATTTAAAATGTAACTTGTGATTATTGTAACTTCACAATCATGGTTATATAAAGCAGTCTCAAAACACTACTGCAAATATCAAATATCTGCGAAACAGTTTACCAACTATTAACAAATCTATATTTAAGATTCTTATCATAGTTTGAAGTATTTCGCAATTCTTTTAGCGAGAGAAATTCGAGATATGTATCCGTACAAAAAGATCATAATTCATTTATGCTCGAGCACGGGCTTACAATTAGTTTCTGCCGACCGGTTAATACTAGTAATATTCGTATCCGTATCCGTATAGTATAAAATAATTCCTATGACGTGAAGGATACGCTTCGTGTAATCCGGTGTAACAGGAGGTCGAACCAAGTACTGTATCTACACGGTGTGCAAATAATTTTATAACTTTGATATTAAATATCATAACAAATATCGAACAATAATTTCATATATTAATACACTATGATATATAAGTAATATGACATATTACTTTGGTATATATTAAATATCGTAACAAATATCACCGAAAAATAATTTCACTGCTATCCCTATCGATGTGAATAAAACTGCATTGTCGTGCATTAGACACAATTTGTTTACATACAAAGTCGCTATATCATCTAATCGAACGACCGTAATGAATAGGTCAGAAATTGTAATTGGACATCTGAATATTTTGCCGAGGTCAAAATTTACAATCGAAAACCGCTTCTAAAGTACTTTACACTTTTCCTACTTACTTATCTATTGCATATCGACATTTCGAGAGAATTTTAATCTTTGATTATTAGCATGAAACTTGATACGAAGATTCAATTTGAATCTGTTTACATGCTTGTACATTTCGTGTTATCAAACATTTTCGTTCCGTGTTTATCACAATATTTACCTGTTTAATGTCAATTGTCTTCTTATCGGAGATATTTTTAACTGATGAATCTGAATGATAATAATTTTGCATTTTCATCGATTAAACGGACATCGATCAGTTTACCGAGAAACTTATCGTTTTGGTTCCTTATCGTTTCGACGAATTATGATCGTTTGTAAACATGCTTCGAATTTTTATCTTTGGAGATCACTTTTTTCACAATGTAAACATATCTTTAAAGAAATCAAGGTGCATAGTTTTAGCTACGTAACCGACGACGACGTCAATCAAGGAGAATGTGGTAACTCCAATGACCATACATTACCACATTCTTTGAAATATTCTACTTATTATTCCTTGCAGTCTACCGAACATTTGCTGTCTTGCCTTTTCAAATTCTTCATTTTATTTCTTAATTAATTGCACTCGTAACAAACGTATGTTTATTAGGAATTTTTGAGTGTATGATTTGCTTACTAAAATTATATCGTACGCTCTTTTTATTTTAAATAAATGGATACACGTTTTATTAACCTTTGTTGCAAATGTGCTACATAAGAACAAACCATGTAATTTTAAATTTACTTTTACCTAGTTTCTTCACTCGTTTGTTGTTTCGAATAAGACTCTCTGATTTCTATGCATAACTTTCTTGCGTTTATTGCTCGATGTGATATACATATTTATGAAAAATTTACTGCTCTTGCAAAACATAACGTTTTGCAAAATTCTGATATTTTTTCGTATCGTTTACCTTTCAAATCTTTCGTAATTGTAACTGAATCAGAAAATTGAGGAGTAATAAACGGACGACATAAAAGTTTCACACAGAAAAAAAACTCATTATTTATGATGAATATGGTGTTATTCATAAATTCATAACGTCTGAACGGACATAACTCAATTACGCTTGTGATTACAGCGATTAGCCGACGAAGTAATTGAATTACTATGTAAATGAAGTGTAGTGTTATTAAATTACGTAATTAAATTATAGTATGATTGAATTAGCGCAACTGCGATCATTTGTGACCGAGTAATAGTTGTTCCTTATTGATAAATAGAAAATATGATAGACTCGCGTTATATTGCCATGTTCTATCAGTATCATGCAATATGGGAAGAGAGAACATTTTGGTCAATCTAACAGATTGCCAAAGTCAAGAAGTCATTTCTGTCGGTGGCTACTTAACGAGAGGCAACTTCAGTGGCAATATAACGAGAGTACTATTTCGTCAATGGCGATATAACAAGAGTACTCTATTTTTTGGTAGAAATAGTATACCGAGAATTCACTGTATTGTGTTAATGGCAATATAACGAGAGTCTACTGTGTCCCGTCAGTGGCGATATAACGAGAGTCTGCTGTATCTCTTCAATGACAAGATAATTGTAACTTAAATAGCATAATTTAATTCTCAACGGCATTGTAACTTAAGTTTACGATGTCTGATCAATGGCAATATAACCAGAGTTCACTGTACCTCCTCATGAATTTATAATACTTATTAATATTTGTCATTGTCTCTCCTTTCTGTACTATTTCGAAGGAGCATCCAAAGTTAAAGGTCACTTTATATCGCCCAATTCCTCATTATTCTCATTAATGACACGTTTCTATAGAATGCAAATGTCGCGATTATAATAATTGATACGACTAAAACGAGGCTTGTCAAAAATAACCGAGTCCATTCGGAATCCATCCACGTAGCCGACAATCGAATTTCGTTTATTTTCTCCTCGCGGGTATAAATTATTTCCGGTTCAAGTATAATCAATTTAACGGCGAACACGTATTTCTCCGAACAGAAATATATCGCGAGTAATATTTCTTATAGAAATAACATTTACCTGTTAGAGCATGAACCGTTTCCTTTCCTAGGAATCATTTTGTTTTGAAACTTACTTGCTTCACAGATTTATGTGGGCGAGTGGGCAATATAACGGGTGGTGATATAACATGTGAGCGATATAATGCGTGGCAATTACTACACGCTGTAATATAATACGTAGGTGATATAACGCGTGACAATATAACGCGTGGTGATCTAACGCGTGGTGATCTAACGCGTGGTGATTTAACGCGTGGCGATACAATGCGTGGTGATCTAACGCGTGGCGATACAACGCGTGGCGATATAACGCGTGATGATCTAACGCGTGGTGATCTAACGCGTGGCGATACAACACGTGGCGATATAACGCGTGGCGATACAACGCGTGGCGATATAACGCGTGGTAATATAACTTGTCACTATACAGTGTGTGGCGATATAATAAATGTTAATATTTGGCAATTGAACATTATCTCGCTTATTAACATTATATTGTTGTAATTATAAAAAAGACATAATTTTAAATTGTTACTAATAACGAAATAAAAGGCATTAAACGGAACATAAATGTTATGCAATAGGTATTTAGAAACAATTATTTATTTTGAACAAATTTGAATACACTTATCGCCGGATTTTACGATGTTTTCGAATGAATCTACATAATAATACGTGCAAGCGAAATGCGTCAGTTATTAATATTAACAAATGTAACCGTGTGGTAGTTGAATCTCGTATTCAGAATATTAAAATTCTCGTGTCACT